CTTTGCTCTTCTTTTTCTTATATTCTAAGGTAGAAGTTTAGGTTATTGTTTGAAAGCTATTTTCTTTTTTTTTTTATCCTCATCCGAGGACATTTTTTTTGCTCAGATAGAGTGGAAGGGAGAGAGAGAGAGAGAGAGAAACATCGATGTGAAAGGGACACATTGAGTGGTTGCCACCCGCACAACCCAACCAGGGCCGGGGACAAACTGCAACCGAGGTACGTGCCCTTAGCGGGAACCGAACCCGGGTCTCTCCTGACCGCAGGTGGACGCTCTAACCGCTGAGCCAAACCGGCCAGGGTGCTATTTTCTTTTTTAATATTGGTGCTTACAGCTATAAATTTACTTCTAATCACTGCTTTTGTTGCATTGATAGGTTTTAGTATGTTGTGTTTTAGTTTTCTTTCACCTCAAAGTGTTCTGTAATTTCCTCTGAGATGTTTTTGACATATTGGTTATTTAGGAATTTACTGTTTAATTTCTACATATTTCTGGATTTCCCACATTTCTTTCTCTTTATTAGTACTTTTGAACAATTTCTATACTTTTTCTTTTTTATCTTTACCCGAGGATATTTTTCCATTGATTTTTTAGATAGGGTGGGAGGGAAGGAGAGAGGGAGAGAGAGAGACATCGATGTGAGAGAGAGACATTGATTGGTTGCCTCCTGCATGACCCCAACCAGGGCCAGTTATTGAACTGCAGTTGAGAACTGAGGTGTGTGTCCTTGCCTGGAATCAAACTTGCAACACTTTGGTCCACGGGCTGATGCTCTTACCACTGAGCCAAACTTGTGTGAACAATTTCTATATTTTATTGATATTCTCTATTTTATGAGATGTTATTATCATATTTACTTTGTTTTATTGAGGCATAATTGATATATAAAACATTTTATTAGTTTCAGGTGTACAACATAATGAGTCAATATTTGTATATATTATGAAATGATAATTACAATAAGTCTAGCTAACATCTGTTACCCTACATAGTTACAAAAATTTTTTTTTGTCATGAGAACTTTTAAATTTTACTTTTTTTAGCAACTTTATAGTATACAGTACAGTATTATTAAGTATAGTCACCATGCTGTACATTACATCCCCATTACTTTTTTTTTTTTATCCTCACCCGAGGACATTCTTTTCCATTTTTTGTTCAGATAGAGTGGGAGGGAGAGAGAGGAAGAGAGAGAGAGAGAAACATCGACGTGAAAGGGACACATCGAGTGGCTGCCACCCACACAACCAACCAGGGCCGGGGACAAACCGCAACCGAGGTACGCGCCCTTAGCGGGAACCGAACCCGGGTCTCTCTGGACCGCAGGCCAACGCTCCAACCACTGAGCCATACCGGCCAGGGCTACTTTTTTTTTATAACTTGAAATTTGTACCTTTTGAACCCCTTAACCAATTTTGCCCACCCCCCTTCACTCTACAGCCATTGTCTCTGGAAACCACCAATAACCTGTTCTCTGTATCTATGACCTAATATTTTTTTCTTTATTGATTTTAGAGAGAGAGGAAGGGAGAGGGAGAAAGAGATAGAAACATTGATGAGAAGAAACATCGATTGGCCTCTTGCACGACCCCCACTGGGGACTGGGCCCACAACCTGGGCATGTGCCCTGACTGGGAATCGAACTGGTGACCTCTTGATGCATGAGCCAACGCTCAACCACTGAGCCACACCAGCCTGGCATATGACCTAATTTTTAAAAAGATTCTACCTATAAATGAGATCATAGGCTTTTTATCTTTCTCTGATTTATTGCACATAGAACAATGTTCTCAAACTCTATACATGTTGTCACAAATGGCAAGATTTCCTCCTTCTTATGGCTGATAATATTCCATGTTTTTTTTTTATCCATGTTGGTGGACACTTGGGTTGCTTTCGTATATTGGCAGTTACAAATGATGCTTCAGTGAACGTGGGGGTGTATATATTTTCTTGAATTAGTGTTTTTATTTTCTTTAGATAAATACTCGGAATTGCTGGATCATGTGGTAGTTATATGTTTAATTTTTTGAGAAAATTTCACACTATTTTACATAATGGCTGCACCAATTTACATTCCCAGCCACAGTGCACAAGGGCTCTCTTTTCTCTACATCCTTGCCAACACTTGTTATTTCTTTTATTTTTTATAATAGCCGTTCTAATAGGTGTAAGGTGTGATCTCATTGTGGTTTTTTTTTTTTTTTTTTTGATATGTGCCCCTAGTGGGGGCCTAACCCAGGACTCTCTGGTCCGCAGGCCAATGCTCCAACTGCTGAGCCAAACCGGCCAGGGCCTCATTGTGGTTTTTATTTGCATTTTCCTTATGATTAGTGTTGCTGAGTACCTTTTCATGTACCTGTTGAATTTTTTTATGTCTTCTTTGGAAAAATGTCTATTCAGATCTTCTGCCTATTTTATAAATAGCATTTTATTTATTTATTTTTTGCTGTTGAGTTGTATCTGTTCTTAATTTATTTTGGATATTAGTCTCTTATCAGATATATGATTTGCCATTATTTTCTCCAATTCAATAAGTTGCCCTTTTATTTTGTTAATGGTGCCCTTTGCTGTGTAGAAGCTTTTCAGTTTGCGATAGTCCTACTTTTTTATTTTTACTTTTGTTGTTTTTTAAAATTTTTAGACATTTATTCCTTTAGTCCTTTGAACATATTTATAATAGTTGATTTATCATCTTTGTCACTAAGTCCAACATTTGGGTTTCCTTAGGAACAGTTTCTATTTATTGCATTTTTCCTGTGTATTGGCCATACTTTCCTATTTCTCTGGGTGTCCTGTAGTTTTTTGTTGAAAACTAAGCATTTTAAATGATATAATTTGGCAACTCTGCAAATCAGACAACCCCCAGGATTTATTTTCCTTTTTGTTTATTTTTGTTACTTTAGTGACTTTTTTTGGCTAATTATGTAAATGTTGTTTTCTTTGTTGTGTGCAACCAATTAGATATCAGCTCAGGTAATTTAGACCTTAGCTAATGACTGGGGAGATATTCTCTTAAATTCTTTTTCTTGCCAGGCTGGTGTGGCTCAGTTGGTTCAGCATTGTCCCATGCACCAAGTGGTCACGGGTTCAATTCCCTTTAAGGGCACATGCATGGTTTTCAGGCTCGAACCCCAGTAGGGGGCATGCAGGAGGCAGCCAATCAATGTTTCTCTTTCATGGATGTTTCTATCTCTCTCCTTATTCCTTCCTCTCTCTCTAAAATATCAGTAAAAACTTATTTAAAAAATTAATTGTGTCAATAAGTCTCATAGCCTTTGCCAGGAGCCTTTGTGTAAGTATGTTGGGTGGGGAATGTTTTCACTGTTTTTTCAGGTAGTTTACCCCTCCTGCTGGCCTTCAGTTCCTCACTGAACAGGGTCTCAAAGTCAACTAGAGCTTTTTAAAAATTTCCTGGGCAGATACACTGTCTTGCACATTTGTGTGACAATCTCGATTCCCAGGACTATGTCAGAGCTTTTCAAACACCCTGAGAATAAGTCACTTTGTACTTTTTTCCCCCTTTACTTTGTCTTTTCCTTTCCTTTTCTCCTTCCTTTTCTCCCTTCCTTCCTTCCTTCCTTCCTTCCTTAAAAGCCACTGTCTGTGTCTTTGTTTAGCCTCTTATAGCCTTAAATGGTAATGCTACCCCAGGTTGCTGTGATGTTCAACAATTACCACTGAATATTTTGGAGAGGTGGTGGTGGGGCAAAACTTTGGGGAGAGAGCTGTTCACATGGAGTGAGCTCTGATTCCAGTCAGTTAAAGATGTGCCTTCATAATAGACTTTTCAGCCTGCTTCCAGATTGGACAAATAGGGCCAGTTCTCTGCGTATGGGTTTTTGAAGAGCTACAAACCGATTCTTCTCGCTCAGTGGCTGCTAGGCTAATAGTTTTCACAGCTACCATAGTTGCAAGGCTGTTGTTTTTCAAAGAGAGCACAAAACTGGGATTAGGAGGATGGGATTATAGTAAGTAATAATGCCACAAACCTTTTTTTTATCCTCACCTGAGGACATTTTTTCCATTTTTTGTTCAGATAGAGTGGGAGGGAGAGAGAGAGAGAGAAACATCGACATGAAAGGGACACATCGAGTGGCTGCCACCTGCACAACCCAACCAGGGCTGGGGACAAACTGCATCCGAGGTACATGACCTTAGTGGGAACCCATCCCGAGTCTCTCTGAACCGCAGGCCAATGCTCCATCCGCTGAGCCAAACCGGCCAGGGCTTTTTTTTTTTTTTTTTTTTTTTTCACAAACCTTTTATTCTTTCAGATATTCAGCTAATTTTTTTCTTAAATAAATAATCTTTGGATTTTTGCAAACTTTTAGATAATTTTCAAATAACTGAGAACTTTATTTTGACATTTATTCCAGTGGTCTTTTTCTGTTTGTAGAGGAGTAGAATTCTGGAGGTCCTTACTCTGCCATTCTGGAAGTGCTTAAGTACCATCGTTTTAAATTTTTCTTAAATAATTTTCCAATAATATGTAACATAAAAGTTTGTCAATACTGTATATGATGTTTCTAAATCACTTTAATATCACCATGATGAAATAGCTCTCCTTAAAATTTTATAAACATTTTTCTTGGATTTGTCTTTTATTTTTTCTAACAGTACAGTATTTTATTTTTAATCCATTTGGGCTGCTATAAGAAAATATCCTAGACTGCATAGTTTATAAACAGCAGACATTTATTTCTCACAGTTCTGGAGGCTGAAAGTCCCAGATCAGCCAACATGGTCAGGTGAGGGTCCTCTTCCTGGTTGCCGCCCATGTATTCTCACATGGTGGAAGGGGCTAGGGAACTCTGTGGGGCCTCTTTTATAAGAGCACTAATTCCATTCAGGAGGGCACTGTTCTCATGACCTAATCACATCCCAAAGGCCTCATCTTATTCTTTCACACTGGGCATAAAGTTTAAATGTAATTTTTGGGGTTCACAGACATTTAGCCTATAGCAACTGGTTACTTTTCCTCTTTTTTTTTTTTTTAGAAAATGACATGTTCATTCATTCCACATCAAATTGGAGTCTTTAAAGTGAAACAGTTCATAGAGTTTATTGGCCCAGTGCCAGATAAAAATTTTCAATCTTTATTGTTGAAACCTTTTCATCAAATATATTTAGTTTTCAAGAGTGTCTGCAAACTTTCCACCAAGGAAGTTGTGTTGAAAGTCAATCCTGGTAAGCTATTGTGGACCCTTACCTTTTTTTTTAATTTTTTTTTTTTAGATTAATATACGATTATCTTACTGTGATAATTGCTCAGCTATGTTTATCAAATGTGGTCTAATCTAGTGGTTCTTATGTTTTGAATGCCTCAAAATCACTCAAAGGCCTGTGAAAATAGATATCGTTAGCCTACATCCCAACATTGATTATTAAGTAGGTCATTTTGCAGCCCAAAGATTGGCATTTCTAATATATTCCCGGTAGGCGCTGATGTTGCCATTTTGAGGATCATACTTTGAATACACTGCGTTAGTGATCTATGAAATTTACTAAATCTTTAACGGTTTTTCTATTTTATTCTTCTTTTTGTTTGAGTATATAATATAAACTGGTTTTGACCATTAAAGGGATATTCTTATTGCTGTTGTTTCATCTAATCCTCAGTTATCTTTTATATTCACTCCGCCACCATTTTGGAATCCCTCAGTTATCTTTTATAGATTGAACCATATGAAGTTGCTGATATTCAACTCTCTTTAACCTATACAAATTTATTTCATGTAGGGTAACCCAATCCTTCAAATTACCATGTTTATTTTTTATGCATTCACTATTTTGCTACCAAATATACTTCATATATATTGCTTTGTGTAGGACCATTTATTAAATGAATAATTTGTATTTTCTGAATATGTTTGTTTATTTCGGGATTTAGCATTAATTTAGAACCAGTCGTCTAGTGTATTAAGTAACTCATGGATGTTATTTGGAAAACTGAAATTAAAAAAAATTAAACTTAATATCCTATTCTATAAAAGGCATATCCCCTTTCATCATTAATCCTTTGGGACAGTTTGTGGTCAAAGATTTTGCAAAACACCAGGAATATGCACCTGTTGCAATGCTTCAATCAGCCAAGACAACCATTCACAATCATCGCTCAAGTAAAGAGTCAGTGAAGGATGCGCTGATAGCTTTTCCCAATGACCGAGCTGCAAGTATCAGGCCTGGAGACCAGGATAAACATTTCAGGTAACGTGCTATATTAAAAACCTGAAGTTTTGAAAGAGTCAGTGACTAACATGATATGCAGAGGTCTTAGCATACACTGCTATAATAAACTAATAATGGTAATAATAATAATGATGATGATACTAATAAAAATTTATTATCTCTTTTGGTTGATGAATGCTACTGTATTTGCTTTATCTAACCTTTCATCACTTCTACTCTGTACTTGCCAAGAAGTGAAAGGTTTACCAGATTATTCTTAAAATATGCTGTTGACAGTCATAGACTCAAAACAGAAATAATCACCGTTGGAACTGTATCAAGACCTCATAGTAGTTATGTTCATCAAGTTTGTCTGAGAGCTTCAATTTATCCAAGATTTAAAAAAATATATAAAATTATGAAAAAACAGTCCTCGTCCTCCTCGTCATCATTGTCATCATCATCTTTGTTCCATCCACTCAAAGTCAGGTTTCCAATAACCCTTCACCAAATTGAACTGAAACTTCCCTAATTCGGATCATAAGTGATGTGAAAGCTCTATTTAAATGTATCCAAACCTCAAATAAATTACTTCCTTAGTGAGAAGAAACCCAGGCATTCTGACATCTTTATCTGGGCCATTAGATTAGGAATGATTTTTACACATTTGAGACTGAAATGGGTTTCTTTTCTGCCTGCCTGTGTGCTACTAGTAGACGATCTAAACTTCATAGTGCCTCTCCTTTGGCTTTCTCTACTTGTCTCTACCTTCAGTGAGGCATTAAACTCATTTAATTTTACAGCAATACCATTTGATTTTAAGGCAATAATTGTTTTATTATTCATAATTGGGAAATTCTGGGCTTTTATATAGCCTCTTATTATTTTATTTTACAATTTCATCCACATCAGCCTTTCTCTCTAGCTTTTATTTGACAAGTACCATAAAACACAGAAGCATAAAAATCACTCAGATTTTATTTTAAATAAATATATAGAATAAAAAAGGAAAACCTATCCCTCCCTATGATTCCTTGTACTCCATTCCACCCTGCAGAGGTAGCTGCAGGAAACAATATTTTAGTGTGTCCTTTTTTTCAAAATTTATTTTTAACCCTCACCTGAGGACACTTTTTTATTTATCTTCAGATACAGTGGGAGGGAGGGAGAGAGAGTAAGAGAGAGAGAAACATTGATTTGAGAGAGACACATTGACTGATTGCCTCCTGCATGACCCCAACCAGAGCTGGGGACAAACCGCAACTGAGGTACATATGTACCCTTGACCGGAATCGAACCCATGACTCTTTGGTCTGCATGCAAGTGCTCTAAATGCTCAGCCAAACTGGCCAGGGCTAGTGTGTCTTTTTTAATTGTATCCTATGATTAAATATATCTATATAGAGATAAAATGTGTTAATTTAATGTTAACATTTTATTTCTGTCTAAATCAATATTAATCAGATGATCTAAAAATGCCGCAATTTTTTTTTTGAAGAAGACTAAGTATTTACTATTTATTCCATGGCCATATATTTTTTTTTCAATTCACTGTTTGCCATAATAGAAATGCAAAATTTAGTGCAGTTATTTTCTGGCTACCAATTAGTAACTTTAATGAAATTTTGCAGTATATTCAATTGTTGCTAATTATTATTCCTTTTTTTTATTTTTAAGGTATGTTTACCTTTTCAAATTTTCAGAAGAAAATAAGATAGGAATTTTTGTCTACTTTTTGTTTACTGCAGTATGTCCTGTGCTTAGAATAGTGTCAGGCATATAGTAGACACTCAGTAAAGAATTTTTGATAGCCCTGGCTGGTTTGGCTCAGTGGTTGGAGCATTGGCCTGCGGACCAGAGAGTTCCGGGTTTGGTTCCCTCTAGGGGCATGTACCAAAAAAAAAAAAAGAAAAAAAAAAAGAGTTTTAAATAAATAAATGAGTTAAAATGTTTTATTTACATAGTAATTTGTCCCCTGTAATTTGCACATTAAAACAACAACAACAACAACAAAAAAAAACCTGCTCAAAGCTGCAGAGTTATTTGTTGAAGTTCAGATTTTAAGGAGCTGGTAAGCACTTAGATGTGTTAATAGCCACCTCTTTGTCACTTCAGGCACTTACTATAGTAGTGTATTCCCTGTGAATAAGGGGGACTATTGTACACCTTTCCAAGTCTCTCCTTTTCTTCTTGTTACAGACATAGGAACTTCACATATAGGAATTATTTCTAGTTTCTAAAGGTGGCTAAGGTTCAGAGTCGAAAGGGAAATTGAAATATCAACTGTCTTTGAATAATGAAGCATTTTTTCTCTCTTATTGCCTCACTCTCTTAAAGACTTTTTAACTCAGTTAAAACTGTCTCACTGTAAGCATTGAGGAATTGATGAAAACAGGGAGAAACATTAGATTAAATTTCATTTGGCTGTATGACTATAGTAGTCCCCACATATCCACAGGGTATATGTTCCAAGATGCTCCAGTGGATGCCTAAAACCATGGATAGTACCAAACTCTTTATATACTATGTTTTTTCCTATACATATATACATACATACTTATGATAAAATTTAATTTATAAAAATACAGTAGGAGAGCCCTGGCCGGTTTGGCTCAGCGGTTGGAGCGTCGGCCTGCGGTCCGGAGAGACCCGGGTTCGGTTCCCGCTAAGGGCACGTACCTCGGTTGCAGTTTGTCCCCGGCCCTGGTCGGTTGTGCGGGTGGCAGCCACTCGATGTGTTCCTTTCACGTCGATGTTTCTCTCTCTCTCTCTCTTCCTCTCTCTCCCTCCCACTCTACCTGAACAAAAAATGGAAAAATGTCCTCGGGTGAGGATAAAAAATAAATAAAAATACAGTAGGAGATTAACAACAATAACTACTAAAATATAACAGTATACTTTAATGAAAGTTATAAAAGTGATGGGAATGTGCTCACTTGTGCTCTCTCTCTCTCTCATAACCAATCTGATAACTAAGAAGATTACAGTGTTACAGGTTGGAAGCATATGCAGCATGGATACACTGAACAAAGGGGTGATTCACTTCCAGGACGCGATGGAGTGGGAAGGCACAAGATTTCATCTAGCTACCCAGAACAGCTTGAAATTTAAAACTTATGAATTGTTTATTTCTGGAATTTTCCATTTAATATTTTTGGACCATGATTAACTGAAACTGTAGAAAGTGAAACTGGATAAGGGCAGACTGCTGTAATGGGTTTATACTTAATGAGTTAATTATTGAGGGTGAGAATCTTAGATTAATAAAATTTGCTGAGGATTGAGGTAGATCAAGGCCAGAAGATGTGAATAATTGTACTTTTTGTGTGTAAAGTATATGGTGCATAAAAAAGAAGAGAATGAACCTAGTTAGTGAATATGAAATAGAACATAATCAGATTCAGATCTATTCCCATCTATAATCTAGAACTGTCCAAATTGCTTACTTGACTAATTCCCCAAGAGTAGGTTCAGAGTAGGGGCCATTACATTTCAATGACATTAGGGATTTACTGATTTTATTAAGAAGGAAACTAGATATTATTCTAGGTCTCTCTGTAATAATGTCTTGATATATAATAGGATATTAGGGAAAGAACTAGAATCTGTTCTGTTCACCGTTCTATGCATGTTCCCTGGCATAGGTGGCACTCAATAAATACTGATCAAATAAATGCATATATGCAAATATTTACATGACTTGCTCATATTGTAGGACGATTTTCACAAAAATTCCAAGACATAACTATGTGGATCCTGAGTTTGCATATACGGATTCTGAAATATTAGAAAAGAAATCACATGAAGGCTATTATGCAAGATACATTGACTATTTAAGATATGTGCGCCTGCAGAAACAAACAGAGAGGTAAAGTTCACTTCCTCAAGCAGTTTGAAACACAGATTGTGGTGCCTATAGAACCAGAATTATTTTCTTTACTCTTTAGTATCTTTTTAGTGGTTTAAATGACTTTTTCATATATAAAACAGTAAAACCTTAGACTACTTTAACTGCAATGACTTATTTTCTTACCGGTCATTTGGGAATGTCTGAGGTGGATCTCCCCAGCAGCAGATCCTAAGACAGGGATGCTAGCACATGAGATTTTCGGAGCGTGTTCTTGGGGGAGAAACCTGTACAGTGTGAGAGAGGCAGGGGAAGAGAGAGGAGGGATCTGAAAAATGATGTGTTTCGAATAAAGTTTACACTCAGCTTGATGCCTAGAGTCTCTTGAGCACAAATTATAATACATAGTTGTTCCTGTGTTGAACCAAAGGGGCTTGTCTTTTGTGCTCCATATCAGTCATTGACTGGGCGCTGTTTTTGGGTGTGGTGGGGTGAGCCAGAACTTCTTTGGGGAGGTGTTTGAGAGTGGGGTCTCCTCAGCAGAAGATAATTTTATGCAGATTAGTGCATCAGTCTGCTTAAGTGGATCTGAGTGAGGCAGCAGCAACACATGCAATATGGGGAATATTGGGGTTTATAGATGTATTTACCAAAACGCTTAGCCTCAATTTATTATTATGATTTCAACAGGAAAGATGTATTTCCATATGACGAGCTAGATATAGGATTAGAGCCTGCGTTAGGCCTAAAGTCACCCTCACTCTCGGTATCGGACATCGAAGAGGACCTATCTTTAGCAGAATGTGAGCTCAAACCTTACCAACTGCTTTGTACCAGGAATATGGAATCCAAGGAAGCAATGGCTCTAGAAAGAAAGGCATGTGCAATATTTTACATTTGATTATGCCATGAGTTTTCTTTTTTTTTTTTAATCCTCACCCAAGGATATTTTTTCCATTTATCTTCAAATAGGGTGGGAGGGAAGGAGAGAGAGAAAGAGAAAGAGAGAGAAACATCGATGTGAGATAGACACATCGACTGGTTGCCTCCCATAGGACCCCAGCCAGGGCTAGGGATCGAACTGCAACCAAAGTACGTGCCTTTGACTGGAATCGAACCCGCTACTCTTTGGTCTGTGGGCCGATGTTCCAACCACTGAACCAAACCGGCCAGGGTGCCATGAGTATTCTTTAATTACCTTCTGTTAATATTTAACAGTTAATTTGGGAATAATTTTATTTTTCATAGGTTTTCAAAAGACTTAAATCATACCCATTCACACCTTCTGAAAAACGTGATTGCAGCTTAATTTTGACACCAAAGCAAATTCATCAAGTAATTGTTGGTAAGAATTTGTAAATACCTACTAATAATGTCTTTGTTTTTTAGCAGCTGTATTCAAGTATAATTTATATTACATAAAACTTACCAGTTTAAAGTATGCAAGTCAATGAATTTTTGTAAATTTACAGGGTTAAGCAGTCATCATCACAACTCAATTTAAAATGCTGCCATAACCCTCATAGCCATAGACTGCTATTCCCTATTCCCAATCCTAGCCCGGGACAACCATTAGTCACCTTTTATCTCTATAGATTTGTCTGTTCTGAACATTTTGTATAAAAGGAATCATACAATATGTGTTCTCTCATATTGTCTCTTTTACTTAGCTAATGTTTTTGAGGTTCATCCATATGGTAGAGGTATACCTTTTTAAAAAATATCTAAATAGTATCTCATTTTATTGGAATACCACATTTTGTTTATCCATTTACCATTTGATGGACATTGAGCTGTTTCCAGTTTGAGGCTATTGTGAATAATGCTGCTATAAACATTCACCTCTAATTCTGTTAATGAACATATATTTTTATTTCTGTTGGTTACATTTCTAGAAGTGGAATTACTGGGTTGTATGGTAAATTTATGTCTGACTTGAAAGAAACTGCCAAAAATTTTTCCAAAATAACTGCACCAAGTTACAGTCCCAACAACAGTCTATTTTGACAGCACCTCTAGTCATGAGTTAAGAAACACATGAAAACTCCTCCTTAACCTTGCAGAGATGTTACAGTGTGTCCTTCTCTAGGTCATTTTCACCAAAACTAAAAAAAGGCTGATTATGGTTAAAGAAATAATGGCTATACTGGTCTGAAGAGGGAGTTCTCATTTCCTTCTGTGCAGGCTTAGGGTGGCCTTGAGATGTGGGCAGAGGATGATTAATTGGTATGGATGTGATGATTCTAACTCTAGGGAGAACCCAGCTCACAAAACACCAAATATCAACTCTGATATTATTCAGATTAAAGAGACATCAAAAGATGTACAAGGTCAGAGGCAAAGCAGTGAAAGGTGATTAAATATCATTTACTATGCCATGCATGTAGACAGGTAATGAGCATTACAATCCCATTTCAATTTAATTATAATCCCAGTAACTTACCTTTTACTATTGGGTGGCAAATGCTCTACATCTTCCAAATTGGTGACTGACTTGTCAGATGAGCAGATCTATACAAATGCAAAAGGAGCAAAGTTAGGTTACAGTGTCCAGTGCCGCTTCTATAACTCTTTCATCAAGTTTTCTCCCTTCTTCACCTGCTGTCCTGGACATTTTAATAATGGTCCTCTGGAACAGGGCCACTGTCTGAGTTTTACAAGGTCAGCACCTCTGATGGTGGGAGTTTTGAATCAGTTGGATGAAGCATGGATGGAAGAGGCAGTTTATGAAATTGGCGGGGAGATGAAGGGCAGTGGAATTTTTTCTTCTACCCTTCTTCTGAGTTCTTTGGCTGGTCTAATAATGAAATTGATATAAGAGATTAACAGGAGAAAAACAAATTTAATTTCATATATATGGGAGCACCATGAAATATGAGACCCAAGGAAAACTCAGACAGTTGCGGCTTATATGCTATCCTGAGCTAAGGAATGGAATAGGAGCCTGGAGCTTCAGAAGAGAGGAGGGTAATTCACAGGACAAGAAGAGCAGATCTTTGCCCTGCTACACAGATAGGTCATTCAGATAAAAGTTATCTCTGGTTATAATAGCTCTTTCTCTGAGCCAGGCACTCTGTCTAAGTTATTTTACGTATTTAAGAGAGGTAAAAGTTTTTCTTGGTTCTGCTGGACCTTGTCTTCAGCTCAAAATAATCCACTATGCTAAAGTGACATATTTTGGGGTCACTTATTCTGTTTCTTTTCAAGGGTCACTCTCACTTTTATACCTTAAAGCCCAGTGAGGTGAAACACCTTGATCAAATTGCTCAAATATTAAGTGGGGAGGAGATTTGAAATGATGTTTCTTTTTGATTTCCCTTTTCATTCTTTTTCACAATCAATATTTTTCTCTCCAATATATCTCTCAGTTTTTTTTTTTTTTACCAACTTCCTTTTTCTCTACCTTGTAGTATTGTTAAATAATAATATAGAATTTTGCATCTGTTTTTATAAAATATATTAGTCTGCATTGTTGCTTTGTCTGATTTCATTTTTGTGTCTTTATTTTGGTGTTAGAATAATGTTGGCCTCCTAAACTGAGTTGGGAAAGTTAGGAAGTATTCACTTTTCTATATTCTAAAAGAGATTGAACAGAATTCTTTATATGTTAGATAGAATTCTTCTGAGACACCATCTGAGTAAGGACATTTCATTTTCTGATGATGTTTAATTACAAATTAATTTTTTAAATAGTTGTAGGACTATTTGGATAATCTATGCCATTTTAGGGGAATTTGGGTCGTTTTTTGTTTGTTTGTTTTTTGTGTGGAATTGATCCCCTTCATTTAAGATGTCATGTTTATACGTATAGAGTTATTTGTAACATTCCCAAATTATCCTTTTAATGTCTAAGTCAGCAGCATCTGTAGTGATAGAGCCTGTTGTATTTTTTAATATTGGAAGTTTATGTCTTCCTTATTTTCCTTTTTCAGTCTTGGTAGAGGTTTATCAATTTTATTGTTCATTTCAAAGAACTGACATTTAGTTGCATTGATTTTTCTCTATAGGTTTTCTGATTTTAATTTCAATGACTTCTTCTCTTGTATTTATCATTTCTGCCTGTTTGCTTTGGATTTTTATTCAGATTGCTTTTCTTTTTCTCATTTCTTGAGAAAGAGTCTTAAATTATTGGTTTAGACCTTTTTTCCCTTATATAATTATTTAGTGCTATAAATTTCTTACTAAGCTGTACTTTAGCTTCAACCCACATATTCTTACATATTCTCAATTTCTTTCAGTTCAATATATTATCTAATTTTCCTTGAAATATTGCCTTTGGTTTATTAATTATTTACACGTGTGTTGCTTATGTTCTAAAATTTTTCTGTTTTCTTTCTGTTACCATTTTTTTTTTAAATTCTATTTGGTCAGTGTACACACATGTATGGATTCAATTGTTTTAAAGTTTTGAAGATTTGTTAAGTTTGACCCTGGATGTGGTCTCTCTTGTTGAAGGTTCATGTGGCTTATAAAGAAGCTGTGTCCTGCTATTGTATGAAATATCTTTAAATGACAATTAGATTCTATTAGTTAATGGTATTGTTAAGAAACTATGTAAAGCTAGGGGAGGAGCATTAGAAAGGTTTATAGAATCATCCAGTATTCACAGGGGCCAGGAATAGTGACTGAAAGTTCCCACCTGGCAGACAGGAAAAAGCAAACAAACTTTATAATTCAAGTGCAGAAAGGGTAGTCTTTGCAATAAGTAGTGCTGGAACATGTGAGCCACACACCAAAAATAAATAAATAAATAAATAAATAAATAAATAAATAAATAAATAAATAAAATATAGTTTGTATCTATAGCTTACGTCATATAACAAAACCAAATCAAAATATATCAAAAGCCATCCTTGTGGAAAGAAGCATAGGAAAGAATATCTGTGACCGGGGGAAAGCAAAAATATCTTAGATATAACACAAACACACGATCCATAAAAGAAAAAAATGAATAAATTGGAATGGACCAACTTTAAATACTTCTGCTCTTCCAAAGACACTAATAAGAATATAAAAACAAGCCATGGATTGAGAGAAAATATTTGCAAATTATATATCTGCTGAAGGAATTGCAACCAGAATGTATACAAACTCTCAAGACTCAATTTTGAGAAAAAAAAAACAAAACAATTAAAAATGGGCAAAGGATTTGAACAGATAGTTTATTAACTAAGATCTGCAGCTGACAAATAGGTACATGGAAAGATGCACAGCATTGTTGGTTGATAAGGAAACACAAAATAAAGCCTCAGTGAGCTAAATCTATTAGAATGGCTAAAGTTAAAAGGAAAAAAAAACTCACCATTTCCGTTATTGCCAGAGATGTAAGGGAACTGGGACTTTTATATATGGCTAGGTAGGAATGTGAAATTATATTCCACTTTAAAAACAGTTTGCCAGTTCGTTATACACTTAAACATATGTGTATCTCATAGTCTATCCATTCCATTCTCAGATATTTATCCAAAAGAAAAGTATATCTTCAAACAAATATTTGTGCACAAATGTTTTAGCAGCTTTGATTGTAATAGCCAATACCTGTAAACAATCCAAGTGGCAATCAACAGGAGAATAGAAAATCATTCATCTATAATGGACTATTACTTAGTAATATGAAAGGATGGACTATTGACCTATGAAACAATATGAATGAATCTCCAAGGAATTTGCTGAGTGAAAGAAATCAGAGGAAAGCTGTATAATCCTGTATTATTTCACTCATGTAAAACTTGAGAGCCCTGGCCAGTTATGCTTAGCAGTTAGAGCATTGGCCCTTGGACCAATGAGTCACAGGTTCGATTCTGGTCAAGGGCATGTACCTTGGTTGCAGCTCGTCCCCGGCCATGGTTGGGTCGTGTGGGAGGCAACCAATTGATGTGTCTCTCTCACATCAATGTTTCTCTCTCTCCCTCTCACTCTATCTGATGATAAATAGAAAAAAAAAATATCTTCGGATGAAGATTAAAAAAAAAACCCAAAACTTGAGAAAATGCAAACTAATCTACAGTGACATTGGATGAGTGGTTGTCTGGGAAGGGAGAATACAGAGGATGGTGGGAGAAGAGGGAGAATATAAAAGGGCACAAAACAACTTTTTGGAGTGATGGATGTTCACTCTCTTCATTGTAATTTTTTCCATAGGCATAGACATGTCAACACTTATGAAATCCTACATTTGTAAACATATATAGTTTGCTGTATATCATTTATAATTAAATTAAGCTGTTAAAAAGCAGGATAAGATATAATTATTCAAATTGTTATGATATAAAAACTTTAGGCATTTAAAGGGGAAAACTTAAGCAATGATTCATGGGAAAATTACCAGTTTTTGTAAATTCTGGTTAAGTGAACATAAATATATTGATGAGAGTGAAGAGGGTGTTAGAGTATGAAAAGACATATACTAAGATGAAATATAATGATTGCTAATAATTTTCCATATAATCAGAATATAATTATATTGAATTTTAGCCAGTAATCTCCAAACATCAAATTATGAACATTTAGATATAAACTTGGTTAGTAATTTCTGATATTATAATGAATATATTTCTGTGTACCATTTTTATAAATTGATTAATCAAAAATACTATTAAAACTTTAAGAAAATGAACACATTGCCAACATTACACTTAACTTTTTTTCTTTTTTAGGGCCCTCTGTCCTTAATTTTGGTGATATTTGTGTGAACTCTATAAATACTCATCTACTGCACGTTGTTAATATGCTACCTAAGTATATTTTGCTCAATTTAGATGTTAATTTGAAAGAACTTCAGAAAACCAAACAATTTTCATATGTGATTCCACCTTCAGCCAGTACTTATATTTCAATAATATTTCAGTCTCCCACCGCTGGAAAATTTTGGAAGTAGGATTTATTTTCAAATTTCTATCTGCTAGATACAAAGTGTCCTATTATAAGATATGTTTATATTTGCCCAAATAATTTAGTATATGTTATATTTGATCCTAAAACATAGGAGCTAAATATGTATCCATTTATAGATTTATAGAGTCATATTTCAGTTGTAGTCTATCTTTCATGATTAGTTTGATGTTTTGCTTACTAAGAATTAATTGCAGATGTTGGTCAATAGTATATGCATTTTTACAGGTAACTTAATTCTATAATTGCAAATAGTTATTATCAGTTAAATTCAGATGCCTTTGTTGTATTACAGGTCTTTCACCTTTAGAGTGAACAATATCCCTGGTGGCCACCTCCTAGTGAGGGCAGTTGTCATGCCAGTAAGACTTGAACTATCGTCTGATGAGCTAGTGTTAAAACCATATGGTTTCTTGTTGAAAACATGTTTTAGAGAAACAGTTAAGTTGCATAATAATCAGAATTATCTTGTTCACTTTGAATGGATACCAGTAAACACAAGAAGAGGAATAACATTTTCCATTCGTCCAAGTAAAGGTAATAATTTATTCTGTTTGTTTAATTTAGACATTCATTTATTCATGTATTCAGCCATTAACCATTTATTGTGTGTGTACTGTATAATGGTGCTAAGAACATAGAAATAAATCTGATTTGGTCATCTGGACATTTATTTTTACATATATAAAATATATATAAATTTGATTTAAAAATATGGATCCTATATTAGGGTTCTCTAGAGAAATGGAACAATAGAAAATATATATGGAGAGAGAGAGAGAGAGGAGAGAGAGATTGAGATTAAGGAATTAGCTCATATGATTGTGTGGGCTGGCAAATTTGAAATCTGCAGGGCAAGCCTGCAGGCTGGAGACTCAGGGAAGAATTGATGTTGCAGTCTTTAATCCAAGGGGACCTTAGTCTTTCTTTTAAGACTTTCAGTTTATTGAGGCCCTCTACATTGTGGAAGATAATCTGCTTTACTCAAAGTCTATTGGTTTAATGTTAATCACATCTAAAACATACTTGCTAGGCGACATCTAGGCTGATGTTTGGCCAAACAACTAAGCACCATAGCCTAGCCAAGTTGACAAATGAAATGAACCATCACAGATACTGATGAACTCCGTATTTTTTGGTTTAGTTTTAGTTGATGATGATATGATTCAGAATAACTTCCATTTTGTTAGATGGTGAATTATTTTAGAAGGATCTACAAATTCTTTACAATCAACATTTAATACAGGTAATAAAGTCCAATTGACAAAAATGAGAACTTAAAAACTGTCATTTAAATAAGGATTTTTATTTATTGATTTTTTTTAGAGAAAAACACTGATTTGTTATTCCATTTATTTATGCATTTATTGGTTGTTTCTAATATGTGCCCTGATAGGGCATTGAACCCACAACCTTGGCATATTGGGACAATGTGCCAACCAACTGTGCTACCTGGCCAGAGCTCAGATTTACCATTTTTGATGGTTCCTTGTATTTGTTAACTATTCTCTTTACCTTGCTTCTGTCATTTCCTGGAATTGATAATTCCACATAATATACCTGTTACAGAACTCAGCCCTGATCACTGCTAAACTGTTACTTATCTAAGATATAGCCTATCAGATTTGGCAAATGTCGTTGTGATGTGCTGTGAGGGTCTCATGAGGACACAAGCTATTATTTAAAGAAAAAAATGGCAAGTTAGAAGCAGAATGACGAATAAGGTATCTTCGTTTCATGTATGTCATGGCTTTCCAGCTAGATGGAAAGATCTGGATCCTTGTGTCTGAAGTGAGTCATGTGATGCTTTATAACCAACTGAAGTCCAGTACTGTATGAGGAATTTAAAACAAACTTTGGAGTCATATAGACCTGATTTAAAAATTAGCCATAGCTTTTCACTAGCTTTGTGATCTTGGAAAAGTATTCTATAAGCACTGGTTTCTTTATCTGTAAAATGAAGAGACTGCTATATCTCATAAAGATTAAATATATGAAAATTCCTTTTATAGCAACTGGCAGAGTAGGTGCCAAATAAATAGAAAGCTATTGATTAGGGAAATTTGCTAATTGCTTGCACTTTTTCCCCCAACAAAGTATGCTCACAGTAAATAAAACATATTCTACTTCTTGCCATCCATTCTCAATTCCTTGCTCCTGTTCCTTCCCTACTTTCTTCCATTTCCCTTTCTCCTCTATCCCTCTTTATCTCTGATTTAGGAATAGTCTTCATTTGTGGTAGAAATAGACTACATATCAGATCACAGAGAAAGTCTAGTTTGTAGAAATCTTGCCTTAGGTGTATGTTCTTGTGTGTATCAGTTATTTCCAAATCATGACTTTTTGTAACTCTATCAGTGTTTGTAACAGGGAGTGTTATAAACAAGCTTAAATGTTCATTTAAATTCACTTAATTTTAGTGCAGATATAGGTAGAGGTGTTGACAAACTTAACAAGTCAAAGAGTAGGACTGTTCCTTCTTTGGGGTTGGAGATTATTGATATAGCCATATTTAATCTTTCATTAACCTGGATTGATTTAGCACAGTCTAGATTATTTACTAAACATTTAAGATATACTTCCATTATTATTTAGCAGGTTAATTTGACCCAGCGCTTTTTTTTGTTGTTGTTGTTGTTAATACTGATAATATTGGGTCCTCCACCAATCTAGACAAAAGCTGAGTGAATAATCAGAAGACAGAAAAACTATTTCTGCACATTTCAGAGGTTCTAGGTAAATTTCCATTTTTTGTTTTTGGAATAGGTATCAAGCAGTGCGAGTTATATTATCTGAATCCCAGATAGAGGTTCTGATCAAGCCCTCGACATGGTTCTATGAGTGTCTGAAAGGCTCAGTGCTTGTCATTTTTCTGTGTTTCTTCATTCTAACTAGGGCTGAATGAGCTGGGCTTCATCCCTGTGGCTGCCATGGAAATGCGGTACTGATGATGAATTTATCAAAATAGAAGTGGAATTACAGTGTTATAAATGGGAACACCAGTTATACTTCTCATGATCTTTAGTTCTTATTTTTACAGGGGAGAGTTTAGTATTTATTTTTAATTTCTTTGGGTTGCTCATAGCACCTCTTAGAATTTTTAAAATCAAAGCACAAAAACACAGTGACATTAATTCCAAATACAATGTTTATATGAGTAATCCCACTGGTCTTTAAGTACTTTTGATCTTTTTAGAACACAAATGATACAATACTCAAATCTATTTCAGAGTATTGAAGAAAGTATGCATAATTTATTGTATACAGTACTTAGATTTTTCTTGTGTCATTTTTCTTTTGATGCTCAGACTAAATATAATATTCAGTTTTGCTTTTGCTTCTTTATATAAATAGAAAATGAATTTTTATCAAGTTGTTTTTCTTACATCCCTTTTGCTATATTGGTTTTGCATCTCAGATAATACATTTAATCATATCCTTCTCTATATTTTTGTAGACTAAAATGAACAGTTATGAATTAAATTAAAATGTTGTGATTGGCCTTTCTTCTTGAGGTGTGATATATTTTGGATTTTGTTTAGTTAGTGGATATTGTGAAAGAAGAATGTGAGTGGATTGATGTTTTTAAAGACAGAATTGGCTTCGAATAGGATGTTTTTGTTAGGAATTATTCATTTTTCTTCTTGTTTTATTTTCTTCCTTGTTGTCTTTAACCTTACCAAACTTTTGAGTCTGTTCAGTCTTCTAACTTGACTTGAATCAATTCACTATCTTTCTCAGTTCTCTTCATCCTTGGCCATTTGTAGAACCTGCCCTGCCAAGCCTACCCTTGCTTAGTCTAGCCATCCAATTTGTTTCTCCTGTTCCCTGTTTAAGTGTCTTTATATATGGTACTGAATCTTCTATGTTCACATTGCTTCCCATCACAGTCTTCTCCACACACCACTCAGCACTGTCACTTGACCTTTACACCTCCCCCAGCTTGGTCCTCCTCCAGAGTTCCTACTTATCCTTCAGTCACAACTCAGATGCCATCTCTTTAAATGAGGTTTTGTCCATATTCTTGGGCAAATTTAGACTCCCCTCCTCTTCTTTTCAGCTCCCACTGTGTATTTCTTTAATATTATCTATAATTACTTGTTTCTATACATCTCCTATTGTGGTACATTGTGCTAAGCTCATACCTGATATCCATTCCCTTTCCTAATAGGACCCTCATTTTGTTTGGGGAAGCAGTGTTCTTCTCTAGAAATCTCTTTTCCCAAGCTGTTTCTTCTTCTTCTTCTTCTTTTTTTTTTTTTTTGATATGTGCCCCTAGCAGGAACTGAACCTGGGACTCTCTGGTCTGCAGGCCACTGCTCCAACTGCTGAGCCAAAACGGCCAGGGCTTTTCCCAAGCTTTTTGCCAATGAGATATGGATAAAATTTTCTTTTACTTACATCCTGCTTCTTTGTACCCGGTGCTGTTGGAAGTGCTTCTATATATCTTAGCTTATTTAATCCCCTACAATGATTCTCTGAGCTAGACACAATTGTATGAGAAAACTGTCTTACATAGATTAAGCAAATTGTCCAAGGTGTCAGCTAGTAAGTTGCACAGTTGAAATTCGAACCAGGGAGTCTGACCCTAGAAACTGTGCTCTTTTAACCACTATGCTCCGATACCTTTCTACATTGAGGAAGGGCCACACAGTAAGAAATGGTAGTGTGGGAAGCTTGAAAGCCTTGTCAGCCTGTTAAGGCAGCCCTGGAATACCTATTCATGGACTTCTAATTTCGTAAGATAAACAACCCCCTATCTACCTAACCCACTGTAACAAGACTTTTTGTTACTTATAGACAAATGTAATCCTGATGGACTCCCACTAGACTGTTAGCTCTTCCATGACCAGTTTCTATTCTTTTTATAAATTGCTGTGCCTACTAACATATCGACATTCAAGAGTATTAATAATATCTGACACTGGGTGCTCTCTGGGCATCACGCACTATGTTAATTCCTTTACATGTATTATTATCCCCCTTCATGGTCATAGGAAGTAGGCACTATATCTTTTTGAAGACTGAGGAAACTACCATCATGTGAGAGTCAACCTGACCCAAAGCAAAGATTGTGGTGATCACTTATCTCTCTGTTCATTGTCCATTGCCTTTGAATCTCAGGTGATCCTCTCTTCATTAAGAAAGAACTGAGTCATTCTTTCTATCAAGTATTCTTTTCTTACTTTAAAGGAGATGATGAATTTAAACAGATATAGCAGCTCATACTAAATGTGGCCTGATGCCTCCTGGGTTTTCAGTACATTTGCATTACAGAAATGTGTTGATTACTTGTAACTATATCAGAAGTTACATTTTTAGGGATGTGAACATTTTAAAAAAGCCTCTGGTAATTCCTCCCTCTGAAAACTGAATGAGTGCCTGATGTTAATACGTATTTCAGAGTGTTGGGAAACATGGAGGGGACACTTGTTCAGGGGTCATGAACAGTTTTTGAGTATGTATAAGTCATCTCTAATCCTAGTAGAGTGTTTGAGACATTTCCATTTTGGAAATACTGGCATATTTTTTGTCAAATATTTTCATCTGCTGATTAAAATGGGAAAATAAGGTATGCATTCTAGATTTTATTCAAACTCTATAGGTTTGTAGTTCTTTGATAAGTCCCTATATTTTGAGTTTAATTTAAATAATTTGTTATATAATATCATATACTTGTATGCCAGCCCTTATTTTGGAGATTAAAAAAATGTAATTAAAATGTGGAATTGTCTTATTCTCTCTAAATCCTCTGTAGGCACTGTTGACCCTTACTCCTCATTGGAATGTGAAGTTACATGGCTGCCGGGTTTTAGTGCTCCAGAAAGGGGAGAATTTATTCTTCATGTTGATGAAGGAAACACGATGACACTGAAATGTGTTGCACATGTAATGCTCTCCTTTCAATATGATTTTTATTTTAAGGGCTCTAAATTGGTTGGGTATACATATGTGTGTAGAGTAGTTGGATATATATACTATGTTAGTAAAAATTGATTTTGCATGCAATACTTAGTTTACTAAATTATGTTACCATCTTTGTGGGGCCACTTCTCTACCATAAATGAAGACTTTGCTAACAAAAAAATGTTGTTATCTAGAATTAATTTAGAAATCCAAGATTTTTTGTGCCATCAATACTAGGTTGTTATTAGAACCTCTATAAATATATACCATGGGAGCCACTTGAAATGAAATGATTTCATTAATAGATGCCAAAGAAAAATAGAGAAAATTATATTTTAGCCCTACTGTATTGCATTTTTAGTGCTCTAGTAGTAATTAATAATTAGTATAAAATGGATCATGTAATTTACATAGCAAGGAGATATGGAAAGTTCTTATTTTTATAGAATATACATTTTGGAATGAAAATGTGAGTAAAGTGATAGCTGCAATATATAATTTTAACTTTCTTTCTGTGGTAAAGCCCAGAAGACCTTAACTTCATGCCTTTTTTAAGAAACACTGATGTGAGAGAGACACATCAATTGGTTGCCTCCTGCACGACCTCAACCAGGGCCAGGGAATGAACTGCAACCAAGGCGTGTGCCCATGACCGGAATCAAACCATCGACTCTTTGGTCCATGGGACGATGCTCTAACTACTGAGCCAAACTGGTCAGGGCTTAACTTTATGCCTCTTAATCACTAGAAATCCTGTGTACCACATTTCCCTTCCAGTATTCTTAGTAATTTAACACATACCAAATACTGTGTTACTAAATCCCATCTCTATCTCTATGCCATAATCATGCTTTTACATGTTTCAGCTGTTAAGGAGCTTATATCCTTAAGAGATAAGGGAGTCATCTATTTTAATGATGGCAAATGGCAGTCAGAAGTTAGTAGGGTGTTTCCACTGCTCTGGGCTTGAAATAAGCTGGGTCCTACTGCTTTCACTCTTTTGTGTTTGACAAGTTTACTGATATAGATTTTGCCCACATACTCATCCTAGGTGTATCTTTTTCTGGCAGATAAAAGATGAGCAATTTGGTAATGTAGACCTGGAATTAATAATAGGTATTATTTATTGAGTAATTGTAGTATCAGGTATCACACTGAATGCTGTTTATGTTTTATTTAATTTACTCCTCATAACAACTTTGTAAGTATGTACTAATAACTCAGTTGATGGGGGAGGAAATGGAGGATTTTGAGTGGCTAGTAAACAAATGAAAGTTTACACACGCAGTAAGCTCCCTAGTTGGAATTTATATTCATATCTATCTGCCTCCACAACCTTCACTATTAGCCTCTGATAAAATTTGCTTTCTGCTTTCCCTGCAGTAGGATTGGTTAAGAATTAAACTTTACTATATCAGAATGATAAATTTGATTCTTTTTTTGTAAACTTTTGAAGCCCTTAAAGTTAAGTGGACTATGAAGTGTTGCTCTTAAGAAAGTAAAGATGGAGCAACATGAAGTGATTAAATAAAATGTTCAAGTATGTCATTAATTTATGAAGGACTTGATCATTTCCTCTTCTGTTAGCTTTGTTTGAAAATTACTATTCCAATTATCCATTCCATGTTCTTCAAATAACTATAAGAATGTACTAAAACCTCCTCAGACAATACAACATTATATATCATAGATAAAGCTAATAGGGCCTGGTGTAAAGAGAACTGAGTGAGGAATTGGAAAACTTGGGTTCTAGTTGCCTTTGGCTATGATTTGCTTTCCTGTAAAATGGGAGAGGTGGATAATATCAACATTTCCAAAAAGTGTATTCTGATGCACTAGTTCTGTGAAATTATTTGTGTGGGATAAGGTAAGTCCTGCCCCTAAGTAATTCTGTGAATCACAGTAAACACCCTTCCCATTCTCAGATAAGCAAAGTGTACATTATCAGCATATTAAGTGCTGTGAGAAGGCGTCTAGTAGAACCATGCCTGGATACTCTCACTTGGCACATTATTTCCTATACTAAGGTGACTCTGAACTCTTTCCTTTTGCATAGCACGTGGTAACACTGTACATAGTTGAGATGATCTCTTATATGTCCAGTGATTAATCCACATGATTCTCAGTCCTGTATTTACTTCCTCTGTAGTTATTTTACTCCCCATCTTCCTCAGTTTAAGAGTACAATTTAAGTGTTACATTCTATTTTCCTTTCTCTTAAGTGCACCATAAAATTTGATAAGACCTCGTGTTTTAGAAATTTCCATGAAGCTGAAAAAAATTTGAAGTATCTGGTGGGGATAAAAAAGGTGTTTACTATTATTCAATTGCATTTTCCCTTTCCTCCTCTTATTATTAGCGTGGTAGTACCAAGGTCTTATTTTTGCAGCCAAGGATAATCTTCACTAATAGCCCTCAAGGTTTAACAACTTGGAAGAGAGTCGTTCTTCACAATGTAGGACAAAACCATGCTTATTTCAAGGTGATGTAAAATCTTGGAATCTTACTTAGATCAGATCACATTATAATTTGAATTAGTATTTTGCTATGAACACTATGTATTAATATTTTAGTCTGATTTTACTAAATTTATTAATGCTAGTATTTAGATATTTCACATGAGACTTATCTGAGTACATTTCATCTACTTTGTCTTTTTTTTTATTTTCTTTATTGTTGTTAGAGAAAAGAAGGGAGAGGTAGAGAGAGATGGAAACATTGATGAGAGAGAACATTGATCGGCCACCTCCTGCATGCCCCCAACTGGGGATTGGACCCACAACCTGGGCATGTGCCCTGACAGGGAATTGAACCAGCAACCTCTTGGTGCATGGGTCCATGTTCAACAACTGAGCCACACCGGCTGGGCTACTTTGTCTTTTTAATTTCTCATAAAATTCATTTCTCTCTCCCTTTCTTTCTTAGTCTCTCCCTTTCGTCTCCTCTAATCCCCTTTTTTCTTTCTGTTATTTTGTTATATTGAAAAAATATATTAGTGATTTAAAGAAAACACTATTTAAAAATATACTTTGTTGATGTTACATTCCATATTTAATTACATGCTTTTCCTTTTCTCCTCTGTCATCAGGGCTCTTATGGTAGCAACTAGGACCATTCTAAAGATACTGTATTTATAGTTTTTTCTGATTTAAATTGCAGGGTGGAGGTCTGCTTAAAGTGGTGATAGAGTTGTTTTTTAGTTTTATTGTTTTTTACTGAAAAATCTATTAAGATCTCCCAATAGAAGTTAGAATTTGAGCTCCTTTATTCAAGCTTTATATTTGCATGTCTTCTTATGCCCGAATAAGCAAATGAGGATACCCTTTTCTACTCTGTTGCTTCAGAATTAGATCTGAAGTCTCTTTGTTCCCGCATCCTTCCAAATATCTTAATTTCCCTTTAAACTATTTTGGTTTCAAGGATGGTAGACAGGGCTAAATTGGGTCTTTGAAAAACCACAACATAAGTTCCTTTTTTGAATGTCAGCACAATACCTTAGATATCAGGCTGTCGAGGAAATGATAAAGAAGAGGAGGTTATTTTATCATCTTTCCTCCCCACTAACTTTGCTTACACTTTTTATGATCAGGAAAGAGGCAAATATCCATGTAGTACCCAAAACTTTGGCATCTTCTCAAAGAGATCTATTTCATCGTAAACTTTGTAGTCTTGAAAACACTTCAGACAATAAAATTCATTTACCTATTTGAATTGGAAGATGCCACTACTGAATATTCTCTTTGCTTGGCTAGAGGTGCAAATCCTTGTTGAAGTTCAAACTTTATATGCATCTGGTGTTTGAAAATCGACAGTCTCATAGAAACAGAGACCAAAGTCATGGTTACCAGAAGGGAGGGAGTAGGTGGAAAGGGGAAGGGGAATGTAGTCAATAATATTGTGATAAGTCTGCACATGACAAATCATTACTAGAATTAATGGCGTGATCACACTGTAAGGTATAAAAATACTGACTTGCTAAATTGTACACATGAAACTAATATAACAAATATAAGATTATATACCAGCTATACTTTAAAAATTAAAAACAAAGCATAATGTAGCATTTCTGCAAATTCTCAATTGCAGGTTTGCACTAAGAGTCTTTTGTCTATCATTAATATTATTCCATCAGAAGGAGTAATTCCATATGGAGGGCTAAGTATTCTCACTATCGCCTATACACCTACGTTGGCAGAAAAATTTGATACAATAGCAAAGGTATGTTCGTACATATGTGACCCCACACCGTATAAATGTCTATGTGGATTTGTTTGGTTATGATATTTGTAGTGGTAGGTATAATGCTATAAAATCTTGTAAACACATTTGTTTTATAAAAGCTTGTTTTAGTGATTTCTTCTAATGAAAATGGGTTTTAATGTTATAACATTGAAGAGTATTTTTTTACATTTCTATTTTTCTTTAGCAATTGAGTTAGCTCTAATGAAGTGCAGATTTTAGCAATCCAGAAGAAAAACAACCATACATATATTATCTATTATAAAAATGTTTAGTAGAATTTAGCAAGAGGATTTATAGAAAATATTTTTTGATAAAAGTTGGTAATGAAATGAATACCTTTCAGCAATATGAGGCATTTTCACATGAAATTGGAATTGTATCTGGCATCTCCAACCTGTGACAAGCCCTCACTAGTCACAGAGCAAAAAATGTTTTTTTTCATGGCATTAATTAGATACCTTAGGTAAAATAATCAATTGTGGAATGCTAATTCTAAATAGCTGTAATGACTATATGAATTATAGGCAAATTATATATGATGTTAACATCTATATTTTATAGCACACAACAAGTGTTTTACTATTTTATATTCTGGAAATTATATAAATGAAAAGATAATCCCTTGATTTTAGGGACCTCTGTGTTCATTAAACAATAAATAAAACATGTAAGACTAGTCTGTAATAACTTTTATATATTATAAACTCACGGAATAGAATACTCTTGATTCAATTTCATGATCAGCTGTGTTCATTTATTCACATTGGAAAATAATATGTAGTCATTGTCATCAGATCAAAATGAATGGCTTTAGATATATCCTCCATTTTATCTTTCAATTTCCCATGACAATTTTAAATAATATGTAGCTTAATATAATAAACACCAATTTGCATGGTTCCCAAATAAATAACCTAAGAACTATATCTTCTGTAGGGAGATATATATTGAAAAATGTTTTATAAATTATATATTGTGGTATATGGACTGAGATTTGGGCAGATTTTTTTTCTGTAGTATTCTGAAAAAATAGAAGAATGTAGCCACTAAAGTACACATTTTACTAAAAGATTAATTTGTATTGTATCTTAGAGGAGTATGCTGTTTTTACAAAGCTTACCTTTTTCATTTAATTTCTTATTGTTAGGAGTATTTCAGGTGTCCCCCATTTTCCCCCTTTTCACCCCTCTCCACCCAATCCCCATCCCACCCAAGGTCTTCCCCACACTACGTCTGTGTAGATAGGTTATGTATATATGCATATATGTTCTTTGGTTAATCTCTTCTGCCTGCCTTCCTCCCCTCTGAGATGCGTCAGTCTGTTCCTCTGGTCCTATTTTGTTCATCAGTTTATTTTGTTCATTAGATTCCACATATAAGTGAGATCATGTGATATTTATCCTTTTCTCACTGGCTTATTTTGCAAAGCTTACCTGTTTAACAGTGTAACACAATCAAATTTGTTCATTTATTTAGCATAGTCTCTGTTGTAGATGCTAGGGGGATGCAAAATCAAACGGAATTATCCAACTAAATTCTTATTCACTAACTTAATTTTCCTGGAAACAGTTGAGTATTCAGATAGTCCTTGGTTCAAGTTTCACTGATGCTGCTTTCAAGTTTTGTGGCCTCAAGAAAATATATACACAAAATACTTGGCCTCTCTAAGCCTTAGCTTTCCTTACTTGGAAGTCAGGCTAACCTCACAGAATACTGAGGATTAAAAAGGAGGTAATGTATTTAGCTGCATACTCGGTGCATATACTCAGCATTTTTTAGTTGTTCCCATTATAGTTATTGTGGATATTAGTATCTTCTTATGGAAAGAAATATGTTTGCAGTCAGTTTCCTGTTTGTTTTAATTTTAATAATCCATTGAAATTAGGTAAATGCAAAAATGCCACAGAGTGTTTCAGGCAATAATGTCAATTCCAGTGGGTAGAATTCTGCAGTCAAATTCATAAGCTTTCAGCTGGTCCCATTTGTGGGTTTTTAAGAGTTGAACACTCCTCTTAGAAATATCAATTCTGCATAATAAGAAATGTGATGACAACTGCCAGAATACATCTTGTAGCATTTATAATATGTTATGATTATTTAAATTATAAAATATTACATAAATGCCAGGTAACACTTCAGCAGTATATATTGTAATGTGGTTTCTACAGTTTTTTTATTTCTCCTAATTATTAGGTTGCTATTCACCAAGCAAGTAGCATAGACCTTAGAATTGGTGGAACTGCTGAAGTTGCTAATGTCGAAATCAAACCAGTGAGTGTGTTACTTATTTGTGTATTCAGTTTATAATTGTGGTGATTTTTATTTGCTCTATGTGCCTAGTCCATTTATGTTTAAATTTTTATTATGTAGTAATTTGACCCAGAAATTAATATATGTAATGTAAATAGAGTTATGAAACAGAATATTCAATAAAGGTTTAAAGAATTCACTGAACTTAAGTCTCAGAGCACAACCAGTACCATTCAATCATCTGTAGACTTCATCGTGATCCTACTCCTCTTAAGAGATAACTTCTTTCTTTAATTTTGTGATTATTATCCCTTTACTTTTTCTAATTGGGTTACCACGTGTGTATGAATTCCATAACCATTCATTGTTTAGTTTATTTGGTTCATTTTTGAGCTTTATAACAAAGATGTACAGTCTTTGGTGTGCTGCTTTAAATTAAATATTGTGTTTCCAAAGTTTATCTAAGTTGTATGTAGCTGTATTTTATTGATTATCACTGCTGTTTAATAGTCCACTGTGTAGACATACTATAATTTGTAGTCTCAATCCGTTGTTCATCAATTAGGTGTTTCTGTGTGTGTGTGTGTGTGTGTGTGTGTGTTTGTTGTTGTGGTTATTATGAAGACTATACCTATGAACATCCATATACATATCTTCTGAGGTACATATGCAAGAGTTTCTTTCAGAATGGAGTTATTGAGACATTGAGTATATGCATGTTTCACTTCACAAAATAATTTCCATATTTTCTTCTTGAGTTTCCATTGATCCACCTTCCATTGTGTTATACATCGTACTGTAAAAGTTAATGTTTGCCAATGTATGGAATATAAAATGATATTTCATTTTGGTTTTGATTTGCATCTTCTGAATTATAATTTTACTTATTTTTTTTTTTTTGCTTTGTACCCTGATAAAATTTTGTTCTATAATTGATGGGGTGGACACTCACATGCCTTTTTTTGGGGGGGGGGGCAGCATTTCAGGAATTAGATCTAGTCTCATCTACCCAGAGAAATTGATCCTTCAAAGGATAAATTTGATCTTTCAAAGCAGACCCTTATGTCCCTGTATTGTGATAGTTATAAGATGTTATGAGCATCTTCAACTCTGGGAACATCTTCATTATAGCAATTGTCATATTATTTTCAGGTTATCTGTACTTTTTTTTTTTCTCTTTCAATAGTATCCCAGCACCTAGCACCATTTTGGTGCTTAACTAAATTGATGGGGCTGCTGGTCGCCTCACCACTAGTCTGCACTTGAATGGCATCACCACAATTCTGGGGTCTGGCTTTAAGTTATAATTTTCTAAACCTTATTTTATTCAGTGTTGGAGGCATTATATGTCCACATAGATTGACAGACATTAAGCTAGCTTGTCCAAGACTATGATAACTCCTGGAGATTAAACTCTGTAGGATCAGAGTACTTTTTCCATTACTATGGTATCCCTTCTTGAACAACATTAGGCAAGTATTGACACTTTTACTACTTTATTTCCTCATTGCAAAGACATTTATGATACTTTTTATATTAATGGTGCAACTAAGTAATTAATAGGACTTTACATTGATGAATATTTATTAATATTCCATAATTATGTTGGATTTTAAATACAACTGCCTAGCTGCCTTTAAAAACAATATTTAGTATCATCAGGTACTGTCAGCAATACATTTAATATGTGTGTGGCATTGACTGTGTATCTTAGTAACAGTTAGGAAATTTTATTCAAATGAGCAAATGGAGAAGGCCAGGATGGGATAAGAGGAATGATTTTTTTTGCGTATACAAAGTATCAAAATTCCATTACCATTTTGGATTTTATAAATTTTACCTGTACAACTGGTTGATATTTTAAGTGAAACAGATTAGTAGCCAATTGGCCTTAATGAAGTATTTTTCTTAACATTAGGATACTGTTGCCTCTTTCTCTTTGAATGTTATATGTAATTCTTTTAGTAAGGAACTGTAGGGTATACAAACTAACTCCACCAGAAGGATGAGTTCTAAAGAGTTTTGTAGTGTAGGCACATCCTCACATATAAGCTCAAGTTAAGATACATTCAATAAACATTCCTTATATATTTAAGCTAAGTGTCCATTTCTAGGGATGCCATATGAATTATACTCGAGGTTCACTAGGAGAAACAGATATGTAAACAAATAAACGGACTTTGTGATAATGTAATGTAAGTAGTCCTGAACAGTGTCATTAACTTTGGTTTATCAAACTGGGGTTTGAAGGATGCATAATATTTTTTTCAGGCAATTATAAGTTAATTAAAGGCCTTCCTGACAGAGGGACATCTTGATAAAGATACAGAAGGGTGAAACATCAGGTATTGGTTGGAAATGACAAGTCATATAGCTTACTGAATATGAGGTGATAGGGTGAGGCTGGAGCAGGAGGCATGAGAAGGTCATGATGAACTTTGTGAGCCCTGCTAATGAACTTGGACATTCTCCTATAGATGGAGGAGAATCATTAAATTTTAAGACATGAAGCTGTGTAGTCAGATTTTCAGTGAATTTAATTGTGAGTTTTGTAGGGGAGAATTGGAGAAAGTCAGAATCTAGAAATGAAATGAAAAGTGATAAGTTACTAACTTCGTACAGTTACAAAAAGGATAAGAAGTGAGGAAGAAGAAAAAATTAATGGAATTTGGTAACATTACATATAGGAGGTGGGGGGAGGAAGGAAAATGTGACTGATTTTTATAGAGTGCTCTAGTTAAAGTCTTTGGTGAACATAACAGTGTATTATTTTTATGGAGGTGGAATTGACATATAGCATTGTTAGTTTTAGGTGTACAGCATAATGATTTGATATATAATGATTTGTATATATTGCAAAATGATCACCACAGTAAGTCTAGTTAACATGTGTCACCAAACATAGTTATTATTTTTCTTATGGTGAGGACTTTTGATATCTACTGTCTTACAGTATAATTTCTAGTTAACATTATTCTCATAAATGATTACACTACTTTATAATTATTCTTTTTTTAAATTTTAGGACAGATTTATCTTCAGTGGCACTTTTATTGGTGGTACTGAGATTATTCCATTTTTAGTAAAAAACAAAGGTGGAGCACGTGTCAGAGTGGAATTTAATCTAGAAGGCTGTAAATATTTTGCAATGGATTTTAAAGACAAATCAGGTATATATTTTATACTACAATGATATTATTGTAAAGGTAAAACAGTTTTAAGTTGTTCAAAGGTATAATGTTAAAAAAGTATTGTAAGTCAAGGGCAATTATTCTTAACTGCTTATAATGATTTAATGCATGTTTTTCTTATACTCTATAATTCATCATGGTTTTACTTCTAGAAATACATCAATATTAATATCATAACACTTTGGTAATTCATGACATCTAACTGTGCTTATTAATTGATTTAATATACAGTGGAACTCGGTTCTTGAACTTAATTTGTTCTAGAAGGCTGTTCGAGAAGCGATTTGTTAGAAAACTGAATCATTTTTTTTCCCCATTAGAAATAATATAAATTAAATTAATTTGTTCGAGACCCCCAACTGATTCCGTTTTAACCTTGCTTATAGACAGTACATGTCTAATGTACTATTTAATCTATAAAGAACCACTTTTCTTAAATTTATAGAACCACTCCATACCAGCCTTAAATGAATCACTTTCAGCACTGATCCTGGTCTTTCAGGAGGTCAGCATGCAGCATCTTTATTTTTTTCATATCTTATTTCCTTTGAAATGCTGTCACTGGCTAACTGTTTTCATTTATCCAGTTTAGCAACAGTTTTTCTACCTCTTGCCTGTGATCATTGTTTTTTCATAGCCTTAGCAACATTAGCTCTCTTGATGACCTCTTTATGTTTTAAAATTGTGCTAATCTTCCATTTCGCCTGCAACAAAAGCAAAAAAAAAAAAATCAAAACAAAAAACACAAAAATATTCACAGCACAATTTCCTGAGATGTTAACAAGGTGAGGTTTAGCAGTAAACTGGCTCATACTGGTCCATTCTCTCCTTTGTTTGTTGCCTGAGAAACACTTTTTGTCATGCTGATACATCAGCATGAAAGGGTTGTCAGGTCAAGAATGGATGTTTTCAGAGGGCAACTTTGTCCAGAACTGAATTGTTTGAGATGGGAAATGTTCTAGAAAATGGGTTGACTGTAGTAAGTTATGTATATTATGGATAAAACCATTAATTTCTAGTTTTAATTGCTTATGGATTTCAGATAAGATTTTTATGTTAAATTAAGTTTTAAAAAATATGCACTTTTATAAGTGCATTTATTTTGCTTACTCCAAGGGTTGGTAAATTAAGGCCTGTGGGCCAAATCTGGCCTGACACCTACTTTTATAATTAAAGTTTTGTTGAATACCAAGTATAGGCTAGACACTATACTTTGAGTCTATACTAGGGAAACTAGCCAAAAATCAGCAATAAGGAAAGATACTTTGGAGAATTTGATGTGTAATTTGAGTCTTGGAGGATAAATGAAAGAATGCAAGTGAAAGCCTAGAAATGAGTCGGTGTGGAAGTAGTTCAGGCTATCTAGAGCATAGAGGGGCAGGTCTGAGGTGTAAGTGAGACCCAGGTTGCTAATGGTCTTTTCTGGACTGTTGGCCTAGATGTTAGGCAGCACCACTAAAGGGTTTATATCCAGGCAATGCTGTGATTAGGCTCACACTTTACTAATTTTCCTTTTGGAGCAAAGTTGAGAATGGGCTGGGGAAAAAGGTGGGTGTGGGAAGGGCAAGACTAGAGACAGGGAGATCAGTTAGGTGCTGTTATTGTACAGGTGACGTGTGAGGAGAGCCTAAACTCAGGTCATAATGATAGGAATGGGAAGGATAAGAGTACAAAGGTACTGAGGATTTGTTTTTTTTTTTAAATATATTTTTATTGATTAAAAACATTTTTTTCTTCATTGATTTTAGAGAGAGAGGAAGGGAGAGGGAGAGACGGATAGAAACATTGATGAGAGAGAACATCAATTAGCCGCCTCCTGCATGTCCCCCACTGGGGATTTGGCCCACTACCTCGGCATGTGCCCTGACGGGGAATCGAACCAGTGACCTCTTGGTGCATGGGGTGACTAACGCTCAACCACTGAGCCACACCGGCCAGGCTTCACACCGGCCAGGCTTTATTGATTTTTTAGAGAGAGAGGAAGGGAGAAAGAGATAGAAACATTGATGTGAGAAACATTCATTGCCTGCCTCCTGCACACCCCCTACTGGGGATTGAGCCCATAACCCAGGCATGTGCCCTGGCTGGGAATTGAACTGGGACCTCTCAGTCTATGGAACAACACTCAGTCCACTGAGCCACACTGGCTGGATGGTATTGAGGATTGAGAAAGGCTCTGACTTGGTTACCAAGTGGACATGGGTATTAAGAAGAGGAGGAAGTCTCAAATCTCTTCCAGTTTTTGATACTAAGAGGTGGGTCACTAGAGGTACAATTCATAGTTGATGCAGCACAGGAGGAACAGATTTAGGTGAGCATGCTGTGTTTGAGGAGACCGTGGAATAGCCCAGGAATGAGAACAGTAGGCAGTTGGAAATAAATATGAAATCTTTATTCATTTTTCCAAAAAATCTGGATGTTGAAACTTTCATAGTTTTAACACTTCACTCTCACCAACTGGCCCATATATTTTCATGCACCTTGTTCTGCCTTAGCCCTAACTCAAGCCTCCCTCTAGGCCACTGCCTCATCTTTTCAAATGCTTTATCGGCCTCCAAGCCTTTTCCTCATACTTGTTCCAGGGAGTGTTCTCCTTAAAGCAGAGATCTTATTGCGCCTCTGCTTAAAAAGCTTTGCTGGTGCCCTATTACCAGTGTTTCTCAGCAGTCTGCTGCTAACACAGTCTAGGAAGGATGTAAGCTGATCTTAATAATTAACACTTCACAGTAAAGTTTGTACTTAAAATGCTCTGAAAATGTATCTCATTATTATAAATATTTGGACACATAAATGCCTCTCGTTGGCAAATTAGACTTGGTTTCTCACATGATGGCTTCGGGATTATTTGATAGAGTGACTTACAGGAGAGAAAAGGTTGACATTCATTTGGGTATGACTCCACTTTGTCTTTCAAGCCACTGCTCCTATCACAGGTTCCATTGGCTTTCTGTACCCGCCTCAAGATTCTGTTTTATGTTTCCTCCCAATGGCACTGGGTTTCCCTTCTAGGATGGTTCCTCCTCTTCTGTCCCTGCTGCCTGACATCCCACCTTCTTTTATAAATTAGCTGCAACCTCCTGAGTCCTATGGATCATTAGTCCCATTCCCCTCCCCCATCCAGTTATTCAAAATTACTTTTTAAATTTTTTCTCCCTTAGGACATGGTGTGAGTTGTATTATAACCCTAACCAATTTCTGCCTTGTATCCAAAATGGGCTGTATACCTGTTTGTCTCCCCTAGTACTGTGAGCTCCATGGGATTAAGGACTGCATTTACAGTTTTTGTTTTCTAAAAGAGTTGTCCAGTATAGTGCTGTGGACATTATATGTACTCAAGAAATATTTATTGAAGCTATCTTGGATTATTGCATTTCACAAGCTATATGTTTATATATACTCCAAAATATATTTATGAATATTGATTTATTTATTCATTTTTGTTATATCTTCTATATTCTAGACATACATCCATTCTAGGTGGATATTCTTTGCTATGTAATATGTGCATCTTCATATCACCGACAGTGTTTATATTAATATAAGCTCAATGGGGTTTTTCTGTTTTGTTCAATGGTTTTTACATTATACATCAAGGTAAGTGAAATTGAATAGGATGAAGGAGGGTGGAATGAGTTATTGAAGCTCATTTCCAGACAGAGAGAACTGAAATTATTATCATTCCTTGGCATAATCTGAAAATTTTAGGGAGAGAAAAGAATTTTTAAAATTGTTTAAATGAGGATAGAGGCTCTACTCTGACATTTGATCTTTCAATAAGTTGTTTTAGAAGTTAATTTAAGTGGCTTGCATTACTATTGGGCAGTTGTTTCTATGTCTTCACCCAGTGCTTTTGTATTGGGAGTGATTTAATTTTGCCAAAAAAGTGTTCTTGTATAAAATTGTGTTTCTTTTTTTGTGTGGATTCTTTAAGGCATCAGAGGAGGTCTTTGTCTTCCCTGCTCCATCTTCACTGGAAAGGGTGTCTCCCACCTTTCTCTGATCTAACATTCAGTCAGTTATATTTTCACTTAGTTCATTCCATTCTACACCTATTGGGTACAAGGCATTATGCTAGTTATGACCTTTATTCCTTTCCTCAGTCATCTGAATAGGACTGTGATATGCTTCTTGAACTTTGGAGATTTTTAAAAAATGGGTTTACTCTCTGTTTTGCTGATTGAATGTATGTTTGCTCCATGTTTGGATATCAGTTTTGCTGATTAGAATTTTGGTATTTAGAGTGGTTCTTTAACCCAGCAACTTTATGCAGTCCTGTACAGATATTTTAGCAACTGCTGTTTGATTGTTATGAATACATTGATGAAGTTTCTCTGTTTCAATTCTACATTTAACAATGGTGTTACAGATATGTATCTGGCTTCTTTTACATGTACTTTTTCCTTTCTTATAGAGAAACACACAGACCCTGCTTCCCCTGATGTATATTTTTTGGAGTTAGAGAAAAAGACGTCTATGGAATGTGGCATAACATTTTCTCCCAAAGAAGTAAGTTCAACTTTCTATTACTGATATTACTGGAGAGTGGTGGAGTTACAGGTCATTGTAATCAAGAAGCTATCAACGATCACATATGCTCTTTTTGTAGTGGGTCTTTTTTCATTTGTGAACATGCCTGGGTATACCCTTTAATTCAGCAGAGTTATTGCTAGAAGCGTCTGGCTCATGCTCGGAGTGTTTCAAGCAGTGTACAAGGCACGCACAAGGAACCTGTAGAGTTGTCCTAGTTATGCTGTCTAGGAAATTCAAGATATGACATGTATGGAGAGGAAAGTTGAGGCTAATCCCAAAAATGACTTACATTTGAGCCAGAGTGTCCTTTGTACTTATATTTAAGTGGGCTATGCTTAATTCTCTTGGTGTCACTACATAAAATTACTATAGTTGTGCTGTGAAGACTTAGGAGGGGTTGCTATGATACTGGTTCCTTTTGTAGTGTTCCTTGATGGTTAGTGATTTAAAAACCACCACATTGCCCAGCCGGTGTGGGTCAGTGGTTGAGTGTTGACCCATGTACCAAGAGGTCACTGGTTCAATCCTGGTCAGGGCACATGCCCAGGTTGTGGGCCCAAACCCCAGTGCATGCAGGAGGCGGCTGCCAATCAATGTTCTCTCTCATCGACGTTTCTCTCTGTCTCTCTAAAAGCAATAAAGAAAAACATATTATAAAAAAATAATAAATAAAACCCACCACATCAATAGTAATCAAACAAACAAAATCAAAGAAAACACCTTTCCTGGAATGTGCCCAGGGGTAAAGGGTACCACTGGCAAAATTTCAGGGGAAATCTCTGATATATTTTTACTTCAAAGGTTCTACAACAGAAGTGCCAAGGAAAGAGCTTCTCTCTACCCTTGATATGTTAAAGCATGTTGCTACATCTTCCCAAACAAGAATCACACTTCTATATGGCAGTTAGAATATAAGACTGTGTTAAAACATTTTTTTTTTTGTATTCCAACATAACTAGCATGATGCCTTGTACCCAATAGGTGTAGAATGGAATGCACTAAGTGAAAATAATTAATAACAATAAGGAGTATTGAATACTAAGTGCTATCCTTAATAATCCATTTTTTAAAAATAATGGTACTAAGCTACATAGTTTCCTGAGGTTGAAATCTTATTTTAGGAACAATGATAGCTATTACTTAGCTTACATGAAAAAAAAAAAGTAAAGAAAATTTGAGGACATATTTAGATTTAAGAAAGTGCTAAGGATTAATTTTACCTTTTTAAGTACAGTACATTAGTTGGGATTTGTTTTGTGGGCTTTGTTTCACGTGGAATGATGTTGTCTGTAGAGTACTCTGTTATGTCTTTTCTAGTTTTAGATAAGTGTAGTGGATGAGGTAGCAAAAGCTACCTTTCTGACATGAAAGAAAATTAAAATTGCTGTATCTAAGTGTACTAAGATGTATACTATACCATAGTCAATTGCTATGGGTTTGGTATAAAGTAATTATTAATTTACATTAATAAACAGTGATATTTAGATTGATACTGATTTGCAAGTTTTTCAAGAAGAGAAAGAACATCTTTGCTTTTTTTGAAAATCATCTTATGACTATTTTCCTTTGGTCTAATTTAGGCTAATCAATATCAGAATACAAATATTATTTAGATTTTCTTTCAATCTTTCAGCAAGGATTTTAAAGTGAATGAAATACTGTCAAGGTATTACAATTATTTGTTGAATAATACAGTCTCTAATTTGTCTTTCTAATTTAGACAGAAAGCATAATTCAGTTATTTGAAGAGATCTAGAGAATGTTTATCTTTTTAATTTTTACATATTCTAGAATCTTTCAAAGCCTACTCAATTCTCATACATCCTACTAACTGCAAGCTTTGTCAGCATAAATTTATATTGTAATCTTGCATATCAATAGTATTCTCTTCTTGATTGTTGAAGTTAATAGCTAAAATTAATTGGGAAGTTTAAAAAAGCAGAAAGAAAATATAAACAAATAAATTATAATACTTTACAATGACCTTTGGTTATATTTTGTTGTATCTTTTCCCCCTTTCTCTACCTGTACACCTGTATTTCTACAACTATAATTGTAGTGAAATAATACTTATGAACAAATTTTTACCTACATTTTTAATTATGTGTACCAATTAAAATGTTATGAATTGCTTTTTGTGTCATTAAGTATTCAATACAATTTCTGTTTTTAGGGATGAGTATTGTATTTAACTAATCCTTTAAAACATTGTTTATTGTTTTCTTCCTTTGTACAACTACGTTGCATCTCTCTCTCTCTATATATATATCTAATCTGATAGGTGAAAGGTGCATTTTAAATTGCATTTCTCTGATTCTTGTATAACAAACCACACTACAACAGTAATGATTTATATATTAATAATTTGGCCAGGTTGCCACTATTATAATCCTGTTAACACTCTGGTAGGATATGGAGCCTCTATCCTTTTTTTTTTTGAGGATAACTATTGGCCATTTTTTTCTGTTTTTATTTTTCCTGATAAACTTAGGAATCATTTTCTCAAGTTTATAGCTATAAGTTCTAGGGGTGTTTTGATTTGTGTTGCCTCAAATTAATACACAATTTGGAGATAAGTGATTTCTATGTAAAACTGAGCTTCCTAGTCAGAAAGAAGATATGGCTTTCATTTTATTAAAGCATTTTATGCTCCTTAGCGAAATGTTGAAAAGTTTTAAAGTAACTTTTCTATACTGTTTTGATTACTATAGCCTTGTAGTAATTTTTGAAATTGGAAAATATGAGTTCATCAGTTTTATTCTCCTTCTTCAGTAATATTTATGGCTAATTTGTGTTCCATGCATTTTCATATGAAATTTAGGATTGCCTTGTCAATTACTGCAAAATATCCACCAGGGATTTTGATATGAATGATATAGAATCTGTAGATCAATTTGAGGAGTACTGCCATCTTAACTATATTAAGTCTTCAAATCCATGAACATAGGATGTTTTTCTACTTATTTAGGTCTTTTTTAATTTCCTTCAACAATGTTCTGTAGTTTTCAATTTCCCATATCTTTATTAAATTTATTTGTAAATAATTATTTTTGATACTATTGTAAATAGAATTGTTTTCTTTTTTAGGGGGGAGGGGGAGAAGATGGAGATGGGGAAGGCCTGGGTGTGCCCCTGGGAGGGGTAGAATTGTTTTCTTAATTTAATTTTCAAATTGTTCATGTTAAGTATTTAGAAAAACAGTTGATTTTAAACATTGATCTAGTATCTGTCTTTTGCCCTAATTTGAATGGAGACCATTGAATGTTGGTTTAATTTCCTATTGCTCATTCTGAAGTGACCTGGTGTTCCTTTAGTGTTTATGGTTTCCCTCTTGGTAGCTTTCTATTTTGCTGGAATCAGTGTTCTGCCTTCACTTGAGAAAACTAAGGCGAGTAATTCTCCCCTACTCTCTCCTTTCCCTGCTTCATCTATATCTCAGTAGTTTTCTCTTGTACTTCTAGGCAACTTCCCTATTTATTTTTTTAAAAATTGAGATATAATCAACATATATTAGTTTTAGGTATACAAAATTATGTTTAGATAGATGTACCTATTGCAAAATACCACCACAATAACTTTAGCTAACATCCTATACTGAACATAGTTACAAATATTTTTTTTCTTGTGATGAGGATTTTTGTGACTTATTCTCTTAGCAACTTTAAAGTATACACTAGAGTACTATTAATTATAGTCACCAGGCTGTACTTTATATCCTCAAGACTTATCGATCTTATAACTGGAAGTTCATACCTATTGACCACCTTTACCCACTTCATAGATTAAGGTGGTGAAATTTTCTATTTTTTCTTGAGAAATTTTATCTAAATTATCTAATATGTTGGCATAAAATTATTCATAGTGTTGTTTTATTTTTATTTCTATAATGTAGGCAATAATGACCTCTTAGTTTTTTAGTTTATTAAATTGCATCTTCTCTCTTTTTATTTTGGTCAGCTTATTTGAAGATTCGTCAACTTTGTTGATAATTAAATTTTTTTTTTTCTTTATTGATTTTACAGAGAGAGGAAAGGAGAGGTAGAGGGAAACATCGATGAGAGAGAACATTGATTGGCCACCTCCTGCATGCCCCCCACTGGGGATTGGGTTCACAACCTGGGCATGTGCCCTGACCAGGAATTGAACCAGCGACCTTTTGATGCATGGGTCAATGCTCAACCACTGAGCCACACTGGCCGGGCTGTTGATAATTTTGATTCAACTTTTGGTATTGTTGATTTACTTTACTGTTTTTGATTCTTTATTTAAATCATTTATTCTTTATCCTTTATTATTTCTGTCTTTCTGCTTGTTTTTAATGTTCTTTTTCTTGTTTGAGAATTTTTTCACTTTTTTATATAGGTTTTAAAGCTATACATTACCCTTTGAGCATTTCTTTATCCACATCCCAAAGTTTTTGTATGTTGTGTTTTCATTTTCATTCATCAAAGTTTTCTGCAAATTCTTATGCATTTTTTTCTTTGACCCATTTATTATTTAGGATGTGTTGTTTAATTTCCACCGATTTGTGAATTTACCAAATTTCCTTGTGTTATTGATTTCTAATATAATTTTATTGTGATTGGAGAATATACTTTGTATCATTTAAATACATTTAAATTTATGTAGGTTTATGTAGGTTGTATAGCTACATTGAGATAAATATTAAAGCAAGAACTAAGAGAGTTGAAAATGCTTGCATCTGAATTTGTGTGTGTGTGTGGACGAATGTGTGTGTGTTTGTGAGTATACAATGACAGAGGGAATGGAATACTGGTTTTTTTAAATATGTTTTTTATTGATTTTTTTTAGAGAGAGAGGAAGGTAGAGAGAGATAGAAACACCAGTGCGAGAGGGACACTTTAATCGGCTGCCTCCTGCACGCCCCCTAATGGGGATCAAGCCTGCAACCTAGGCATGTGCTCTGACCGGGAATTGAACCAGGACGTCACAGTCCATGGGACAATGCTCAATCC